ACAGTTCAATGCTATGCTAAATCTGCCTTCAAGGCTTCTGGTACGGCATTGAAAACACGGTGACCCTGCAGCGCCTGAGCCAACTGAAGATCAGAGGTCACTCTGCTGGTTCACATGTGACCAAGACATTTTTGCAGGTTACCTCTGCCTTGGTGCTATGCCTGCCCAACCAAGTGATGCCCATCTGTACCACCACTGCTTTAGCCCAGACAAAACACCTCCTGTCCCCGGCAGCCGGCACGCACTACCGTCTCCAGGCAATTCAGTGGAAATGCAATCATCCACAACTGCTAAATTCAGTCTTGAAGGTCATGTAGTGTCCAGGGCACCCTGGGGCATGTTCGCACAACCCCACACATCTGCAGCGCTCAGGGGGACCACAGAAACTCGCTTGCTCCCATGCATGCTTGTACCTTATTGGCAGGCTTCCACCGTGCAATAGGATTAAGGAAAGCCCCAGCCCCAGCCTGTGCTCCAGCTCCAGATGGCTTCCAGGTGGGCTGGGGAGAGCAGCCCCTGACCAGCGGCTCTGCGGAGTATCCTGCCACCAGCACAGCTGCTGCCTGGGGGCTGCTGGTGAATCTCCCCTGAGCAGCACTACCAGCCACCCTGACGCATCCCTTTAGCAGAACCACCCTGCACAGGGGCAGCGTAGCAAAGGCCCCCAGGCCAGCACAGAGCTGCAGACCCTTCCAGCTCTGCTGCTCGGTCTTCTTCACCAATGTGACTCTGCAGTGGCACATGACCTGCAGAAGATTTCCAGATAGTCATCCCATATATCCATCTCCCAGCGCCTCTTCTGTGCAGCTTCCCTTTGCTCTCACAGCCTGTCCTGGCTTTCTCTGCAGTCAGAGCAGAGATTGCAGCTTGTGTCAAAACGCTGGAGATAATCTTACCTTCCCTGCTCAAGAAGCAGGAGCAGCAGTAGGGGCTGCAGCAGTGAGTGCTGCTGCTGTGTCTGCAACACACTGATGATGTGTGCAACTGATGCGCTGAGGCAACAACCTCAGAAACCATCACACACCCAGCGCCGGAGAGGGATGCTGAGACACCAGGGGACCGTGACATGAACTGTTCTGCTGTGATGATGGGGAGGGCAGCTCCGCCTTGGGGCACACTCCAGCTTTTACACTGAAATGAGGGACATTTTTCACACGCAAGGCTTGGGATTCATCCAGGATTTGCCAGGCCCATGCACTTTGGTCATCACCAGCGTTACGGAGCAAATGACACCATGCCACATCTCACCCCACCTCTTCTCCCCTTCAAGCCCTGCTCACCCCATGGGGTTTCACCCAACACCTCTTGACCAGGAGATCTCTGCCCACCACCTCCCCTTCCTGGAGAGGTCGGCTGGGGGTCACAGGTCCACATCTTACCAGCCTGGTTGGTGGTGATGTTCACTGATGCAAACTGCGGGGAGAAGGGGCTCTGGTCAGTGACGCCATTCACCGCCTGGATCTCGAAGGTGTACTGGGTGTGGGCCAGCAGATCGCTGATGTAGATGCGGGGTTCTGTCAGGCCCAGCTGGCGGGGGGCAAACTGCACATTGTCCCCACAGCGTGTGCATGCCCCACGGCCAGAGCCGCAGCTCTTGCAGATGATGTTGTACACCAGGTCCTCCCGGCCACCTGTGTCCCTTGGTGGGGTCCACTCCAGCATCAGTGAGGTCTCGTTTACGCTGGAGATGACGGCCTGGGGGGCAGATGGGATGGCTGTAAAGGGAATAGACAGAAAAGTGTAAGAGCCAGAGCCCTGCTCATGGCTACAGGACCAGCTGCACCCCATCCTTTTTCCCAACCCTGGACAGGATTCCGCAGCAGGCACGCACTGAGCCAGGTGCTTCCCTTGGTGTCAGGGATGTGCGGAGCAAGCTGGACAGCCAAAGGCAAGAGCGCGAAAAAAACCTGTCCTCTTAACCCAGGCTCGTTTGATTACATAGCACCCCTGGCAAAATTCACCAGTTATTTTTTGTAGCGTTTCTGATTCCTGCCCTTTGCACTAATCTCCCGCATGTCAACGCACAGGTCTTCTCGTGCAGGTACAGCCCCATAGTGAAGTCATCTCGCTGCCTGGAACAGCACAGAGCAAACCGAATTTCTGTCCTCTTTGCACATGCAATGCTTGCAAACACAGACTGGCCTGGGGTAAGAAAGACCCATGCCTGCAAGGATGAGGTGCTCTGATCCCACTGGCTTCCTCCAAAATCCTGCTGAGACAGATGTCTTTGTTAAGCATCCCTCTGTGCTTTGACTGATGTGTGTCTCCCTTCCCAGCCGCACACGGTCCCTCCCCAGCCACCCAAAGCCCACATACTGGTGCACGGCATGTCAACAGGATCGGCATCTGCCCGGTAATATCCGTTTCGACACACGCAGTTAGTGGCCCCTTCCGAAGTCGTCCGGCTGTTAATTGGGCAGTGGACACATCCTTCATCCCCTTGGCTGGCCTTGAACGTCCCCGACGGGCAGCCTGGAAGAGAACCAAGAGCAGCGGTAAGTGGCGAGGATGGGGGCTGGCGGGGACGTCCGGAGCCTGGCAGCGCTGCCAGAAAACACCCTTCGGGGCTTTGCGGCATCTGAAGCCAAAACCTAACAATTTGAAATAAACAAAGTGGAGAAGGAGCAGCTGGTTTGAGGGCTCTGAGGAGGCAGGCGCTGCTGCTCACGCTGCCTGTAGAGATGAGGTCCTCATGCAGACGTCTCTCTCCCCTGTTCCCCAACCACAAGTGCAGAACGGCATCCACTCAGGGAGTCTTACAACTGCAAAGGTGAATTTGAGCCACTGTCATGTAAGAAGTTGCTGTACCAACTCAGACCTAAGGTCCACGGTCACCAGAATCCTGCCTGCAAACAGCAGCCACCCAAGGAGTAGGGCACGAGCCACGCAGAAGCATTGCCCGCACCTTCCCACCCGCCAACAATTTATAGCTCAGGGAGTTTCTAAGAGGCAGGCTCTTTGCACTTAACATCCCTTGTGGGATGTTTCTTCCACTAAGTTACCCAGCCATTTTTTTGCTCTGTGCAAATGTTTTGCACCCAATTTTATCCTGCAGCACAGAGCGCCATGGTGTTATTACATGCTGCATGAAGAAACTGCTGTCCTCTGCCTTGAAACTGCCAGCTGCCGTGTTGTTTGATGCAATCTCACACTTGCATTGGCAATGGACACTCAATCGCCACCCTCCTTCTCCATGACCCCCTTGCACAAAGCTCTGTCATGCCCCAAGCAAGTTGCATAACAACGTTCATTATTTTATTCTCTACTTTTTTCCCATAATTAGCAATGTCCAAATTATTTTTTAACCACCAACGTACCAACGGGACTACCTATCATAGCCCCAAGATAGCATTTCTGAGACATCAGGCCAACTCACAGCCTCTCTCTGTGCATGTCTGTGTGAAGTTGGGGTTGTTTTCTCCCATTTGCATCACCTCATGTCTATTGAATTCCAATTGCCTTCGCATTCCCTGGTCATGCCATCTCATAAGGTCCTTTTGAAACTCTCCACAGCCAGGCCTTGTTTTCCCTACTCAGTGTCATTAGCAAATTGTCACTTCTGCCACAAACAGCAGCAGCTTGCCGGGGTCTACCTCCACTGGGGCTCAGAACTCTAAGCCACTCAAAGATGAAGAAGATGCTCCACTGGCAACAGCCACTCAAAAAAAAAGTGTGTTCAGCCAGGAACTGTGGGCTAGGGTGGCATGGGGGGTGCACAGTGCCTACAGCTGATGGGTAGTGAAGGCTGGACCACAGTGTGAAATACAGCATTAACAGATACGGCACAGGTGGCTAAAAACATCACTGCAAAGCTTTAAACACCAGAAAGTCCTTTCCAAGTCAGGGGATCACCAACACCAAAGCAAAAGTTTGTCTATAAGCATTTAACGGCATGGTTCTCAGTGATTACTCTTGGTTGCGACTTTCCGCTGCTGCTAATTTCTTGTGCAGCACTAAGAGCCTGGGGGGTGGCAGGTGGTTTCTGCACTGAAACGAGTTAAACAAACTTCTACTTCAGTTCGCTGCCAAGGCTTTCAGGAATGAGGTGGATCAGAAAAACAGCCTGGGAAAAACATACGCTCGGGGCTGCTGTAAGCAAGAGCTATTACTGAGAAGTACCTATTTTTTTCTTAAAAAAAAAAAAAAAGGCGTTCTTTTTTTTTTTTCCGTTTTCATCTCCCTTCCTTCAAAATTATCTTGAGTTTCCAGTGGGAAAGGCTCTGTAGAAAAATACCATCAGCCTTCCTTCTTGCAAAGTCCCTCCTGCCTCCTACAGTCAAAGGATCTGTTGAAAAACTGGCTTCTTCTCATGTTCCTGGATCTTTTCACCCTTGCTATCCCTTATCCCCCACGTGTTTGACTCCATTTCTGACCCTATTTCCAGCACGTCCCTCAGTACAAACCCCCCTCAGAGGGTGTTAAGCTGTTGGGAGAGGTGATGGCTGTGTAGTTCTCTGTTACAGAGAAGTGATAGCGCTCTGTAGCTGAAACGATAACAGGGTCCCCGTACTAATACCAATTTTTGAAACACAGTAAGACCAACACACAAAATTGCTTTAGTCTGACATCCAGGGTGAAATATAGGGTCATTTGCTCAAAGAAGTTTTAAGACACGGGCCTCTTTCACCTTCCCAAGGCTTATTTTAAAAATAACAACTTGCCTGTAAGGCTTCTTCTGCATCAAGATAGAGATACATCAAAAAAAATGCCTGTGCTGCTGAGATTTAGCGGCGGGCACCACGAGACAAAAAACATTTCCCAGGTTTGGCCTGGCACAGGCTGATGGCTGCAATTAATACTTCTGTGTGAGCTGCCGTTAGGGCAGGGCAAAAACTGGGGGCTGAATGGTTGTTCACCAAAAACACGGAGCTGGGATGCTAAAACTCTTTGCATGTGCCATCAAAACATGCCAGAAGTTTTGGCAACTTTCTTCCTCGCCAAGAGGTCCCGCACAGTGACATGGGATAAAATAATCCTGGAAAATCAGAACTTTTCCAAAGATAAATGTTCTGAAACTGTGCTGAAAGACAGGAAAATCACTGGCATTTGATGCAGAGTCCTATTTTATTTAATTTTTTTTTCCTCAAGTAATGACAACCTCCAGAAGCAAAATAAATGAACATAGTGTTCAAAACTGTTTTGTTCCCTCCAGGTCTTCGTCTGGGTGAGAAAACAGCTTTTAATTTGGAAGCCACCCAATTTCTTGTTTCCAGAGTAAACAGCAAATCAAAACTGAAATCTTCACACAGGGGGTCAACACCCTCCTGTTCAAACAGCGTGGATGTTCTTACCACTCGCTAGAAGACATGAGGACACCCCAGTTTTCTGCCCCAGGTGGTGACAGCAGCTTTGGGACATGCTGCTTCCCCTTAGGCTTGCAATGAGGGCAGGGGCAGAGCATCCCTAGAAACTCCTGCTTGGAAAGAGGGAATTGAAACAGTGAAAGCACAGAAATTTCTACTTTATCGGAGTGTACTTCATCCCAGGTGAGCGATTACTGTGACAGCAGCTCTGACCCCATCACTGAAGCTGGGGTGGTTTGCAGCTTCCCACGTGGTGGGTTCCCGCATCTCCAGCACCAATCAGAGGGGTTCACGTGAAACATATGGACCTTTAATTGCCTCACTGCTGCATGTAGGCATGGATGGCTGCCTCGCTAGGTTACGGCTCAGAGGTAGCAGCAACTTTGCTAACAGTACTGGCTGTAGCTCTCTTGAACAAGACTGGGAAAGCCTGAGCAGCACAGGGTGTCCTTGTTTCCCTTCCACTCATTCCCAGGGCACGGAAAGGTGCTTGTGCCTCGGAAGTCATGTGTTTTGGGAAGGGAATACCACAGAGAAGGACCTATGATGGGTCCTGCCCTCCCCTGCAGGAGGACCTGGAAGGGATCTGGGATCTGGGAAGGATCTGGGATCTAGGAGGGAAGGCTGCTTCTGCAGCATCCTCTGCTGGAGGCAGAGCTGGCATGAGGCTTCCAGCCCTCCTTCCTCACAGCACTGCCTGCCCCAGGCAGCTCAGTGGAGAAAGGCATGCTGTGGCTCAGTCTAAAGGAAAAGCCTTTGGCCAAAGGGCAGGAGGGGCTGCAGAGGGGTTCCCTGTACGCTGGCCCTGTATCCCACTGCCTCTATCTAACCAACTTCTTAATTAATCCAGTGTGAGCTGAGCAAGCTCCAAACAGGCTCCTCTGCATCAAAAACTGCCCTGGCCTTCAGACCCCACCCCAGACCACTTCTGCAAATAGCTCAGAGCCAACAGCTCTCTCTTGCAATAAAAGTTTCCAAAATGGCACCTTCAGTCTGTGCTAACGGACAGGTCCGCCTCGACTCCCTTTGCCTGGCTTTGTTTCTCCTGGCAGCGAGGCTCCTTCCGCTCGAGCAAGGCGTTTTTAATGTCTGATGGAAAACAGGCAGCCCTGGCTCTGTCAGTTAGGATCCGCCAAGAGTCTTAAATCCCTGGCCTTATCTCCCAGCTGCCTGTCTTCTCCCTCCGGGGCCAGAGACAGGGAGCAGGCAGGCTGGCTCTGCAGCCCGACATCGTCAGCATCCCTGGTGCTGTGGGACCTCAGAGCTCCTCACCGTGGCTGCATCCTACCTCTCGCCCTGCCCCATGCTTTTAGGAACCCTCTCCCACAGCCCTCCACGCTCCTGCTGGCATGCTAAATTGCCCCAAAAACCTGACACAAGCCTCTGGCTCCCTTGGCCACGCACCATGGGACTGCCCCTACACTGATCCAGCACCGAACAGGTGCCAGCAATTTGCTCTTATGGAGAATAAAGAAAACAATGTCCTGGGCCATGCCAGGAGTAGTGTGGCCAACACAACTGAAGGAGGTGTTTTTTTTATCCCTGCCAGGCACTGGGGATGCTGATGTGGTTAGTTTGGGTTTGCCCAATTCAAGGGCAACATGGAGGAACAGGAGAGTCCAGTGGAGGGACACCAAGATGGCCAGCCCTGGGACACAGGGCACAAGAGGAGGGGTGGAAAGAGCTGGGATGGGTTAACTGGGGCAAGGGAGGGATCTAACTGCAGCTGCAGCTATTTGGGGGCAGCTGCAAAGAAGACAGACCCAAACACTTCTCAGGGTGTCAGACTATGTAACACGGGACAAGGACCACAAGTTCAGACTGGACATTAGGAAAAACTTCTTCTCCAAAGGATGGTGCGGCCCTGGGACAGGTGACAGAGGGGTTGTGGATCTCCTTCCCTGGGGGAGATTCAGCTAAACACAGTGGCTGCCTTGAGCTAATGCTGGTGGCAGCCCTGCTTCAAGTGGGAGGCTGGACTCCAGACCCGACAGCCTCCTCCACCACCACTTCTAGGTCTTTGCTGCTTGTGGTGTGTGTGGGGGGGCTATTAATGATGTTGTCCCATGCAGAAGACCGTTATGCCCAACATGTTCTGAATTTACCCCTTTTTCCTTTCATCAACCGTGGGGTGGGTGTTGTAATGACATTGTAACTTTTCCCATATTC